CCAGGCTATCTCTCAACTCCAGGACTCACATAAGCTCTTTCTCTGTCTAGAATGTTCTTCCCACTCTTTCTTCCTTCCCCTGCATCCCTTCATTTGGCTCATTCCAGTTCAACTGTTAGTTTTCCGATTAAACCGCTCATCCCCAGAGAGCTTACCTGATCTCCAGAGGTAAGAGCAGGGAAATGTCACAGCATCTTTTCTGTGTCTCCTCTTCACTAAGTGCCTTCTCACCTGTTTCTGTTCTCTCTGAGATCCCGAGGTTGGGGACAGTGTCTCCCTTGTTCACTGATGCATCCCCAGTACCAAGAATAGTGCTAGCTGAGTAGAACTGAGATGTCCCCACATTTCAGCCAATGTTCATGACATCTCTCCCACATGCAATGCTTCAGGCCATGGAGACATTACCCTTCAAGTGAGTACTTTGAGACTACTGTTTTTGAGATAAAATGTACAATTAAAGAAAACAATAACATATCCAGATGTGTATTATAAAGATGAACACCTGAAACTTATATATTATTATTAACAAATGTCACTCCAATAAATTTAATTTTAAAAAGTAAAAAAATACTGTGCAGAAGAGTTCCATGGCCTCTAATTCAATCCAATTCAGCTCAACAAATCAAATCACTTCCCCTACCACAACCTTATTCTGTGCCTCTGCCCTGTCCACCAGCCTCACTTGTGGTCTGTGGCTTTTGGGGCATAAGAGGAAGGAAGGGGGAGTTATGACCACGACATAACCACCACCAATTGTACTATTACCCAGTGTGTTGTGGCCACTTGAAGAAAACCTACCCTTCCTACTGGAAGACAAGGTTCTGACACTGCTGAGGGTCTGTGGATCTGAGACAGCTTCTGTCAATCTACAAGTGACCAGAGATGGTTTTAGTGGGTACAGACTAGCCAACCACTTATGGAGTGTGGTTTCAGAGGGCACCCCTGCCCTCCGTCCATATTTCCATACCTCCTGACCAACCTGTTCCTATTAGACCTGGCTCCTTTCACTGAAAGCAGTGCTCCTCAAACTGCAGTGTGCGTCCAAGTCCACTGGAAGACAATAAAACAGATTGCTGGGCCCCACCCCCCGAGATTTTTATTCAGTAGGTCTGATTCAGGGCCCCAAAATTTGCATTCCTGAGTTCCCAGGCAATGTTGATGCTGCTAGCCCCAGGGACCACACACTGAGAGCCTCTCACTTAAACTAGAAATGGATTTCAGCCCTGCTCATGCCTGAGTCACCTTCGGAGCTGGGGAGCTTTTGAACAGCACAGAGTTTGAGTGCATGCTGGGCTTCCCTGTTCATCAGTGTACCACCCGTGATGCTGATGCACAGGGAAGGCTGAGAACCACGTGTAGGTGTTTATGCCTATTTAGGAGTGTTAGTCCTTCTGAAGGGCTGACACTCTGAAGTGAAATCAGTGATTTACATGCTAGTATGAATGAGTTCCCAAGCTTTTCTGAGAGATTCTAGTGGAGGGAAAAGGCATAGGTACTGAAGACCCTAGACAGAGGGACAGATATGGAGAAGGCACACCAAGGGGAGGGAAACTGAGGCAGTCAAAACCCTCTTTACTTGCCTTACCAAGGGAGGGTGAAAGCTTTTTGCAGGAGGAACCCTTGATGCTACGATTGCAGCCAGTTCCTCGGGCTCTCGCTACCTCTGGTTCTGCTTCTAAGTCTCATTGACTGTGGCCGAGACTGTCAAAATGGACAACATGGAAACACAGATAGTCAGGTTGTCTGACTGAGACCTAGATCCCCGACCTCACATGCCCCTCATTGTCCACAGAGATACTGGAGAGAGAGCACTTCCACATGGATTTGGTCCTCGGCATTTCCCTTGTGCATAGGATGTGAGTGGAACTTTAAATCCCACTTACTTTACAGGGAGAAATGACATATCTCTTTAGGTGAGTATATTCAGTCACACATTTATGACACTGCCTTTAACCCCAGTTGAAGTGAGTGGTGGGCAGAGAGGGCAACATTTTTCTCATTTCTTCTCCCAATGCCAACTTTTATATAGTTCTCACTGCCTCTTGAAAATAGCTTAGCTTAGCTCTTTTATAGCTTGAAGCCAGCCCAGTCTTCTAAGGAATAGCTCTTGTCCCTGGCACAGCAAGCTCTAAGAAAAAACTTTACATTCAATAGAGTTTCCACTTTCAAACTATAGCATCTGCAGCCCAAAGTAGAGCCTGGCTAAACTGAGAGCGAGTCCTCCAGCCATCAGCTGAGGAAGAGGCTGGAGGATACAAGGTCTTCTTGCTCCCCAGCTGAAGATGAGAGCTGGGTGGGAGTGGGGCATGAGGGTGTTTGTAAAATGTGCTCCCCTTAATCCTGTGGTGTCCTGAGGATGGCTGAACACAGGCCTTCTTCCTGACCTGCAGAAAGGATAGGAGACCTTGCACTGTGGAAAGAGCTGGGAGGGGGCAGGGGAGAGATAGTACAGATGCCATCAGCTGCTGGGGAGACCAAACAGAGGTATTTGCAGAAAAAAAAGCCCTGAGAAGCAGGAGGCCTGGGCTCCCTGTAACTGGCTGAGCAACCTCAGAAAAGTAGCACCTCCCCTCTGGGCCTCAATTTCCTCATGTATAAACTGAGGAGGTTGGACCAAATAATTCTTGTGTTTTACCTATGATTCCACAGTTATGTGGAACTGAACTGTTACTGAGTCACTTACTTTAAAATACACACAATAAGTAAGCAGTTGTTACAACTGTGTTAAACTTGAAAGGTTATTTCATCTGTAGTACTAGATTTAATTTACAAGTTACAAGAACTTCAGAACCCTCCAAAGAAATCTCTCTCTCTCTCTCTCTCTCATTCCTGTTAAATGATGAAGGTTTTCTGAACAAGGTGCTGTACAAGCAGATTAAATTTATGAATTTTCACATGACTTTAACATCACTTAAAGGAGAAATTATATATGATCCTTAAAGCCCTTAATCCCAAATATTCATATGTTATATAAAAGTGAGGAAAAAATCAAGAACAAAGGAAGCCTTCTTCTAAGAGGTAGAATTGAACCTGTCCTCCCCTTGAGTGTAAATTCAGTAACTAACTTCTATTACACAGAGCATATAAAGGAGGGACATGACTATCATAGAGAATCTTGGAAGACACCTTAACCAAGAAATGAAGGTCAACATGACCAGTGAAAAATCATGTAATGCCACACATTCCTGATGTTATACTGTGAGAAGGGCATGCCACCTCTGTGACATTCTTTCCCCCAAATCCAAACCCCAGTGTGGTAACAACAAAAAGCCATCAAACCCAAATTCAGGGACATCCTACAAAACACCTAACCTATACTCTTCCAAGTTGTCAAAGATATCAAAGCAAGGAAAGAATGAGAACTTGTCACAGATGGGAGGAAGCTGAGGTAAGATAGCTGCATGCAACGGGGTGTCCTGTATAGAATCTTGGAACAGAAAAAAGACACTAATGGAAAAAAAACTGGTAAAGTCCAAATGGAGTATATAATCTGGTTAATAATACTATACTAATGTTAATTTCCTAGCCTTGATAAAGGTGCTATAGTTACTTAAGGTCTTAACATATGGAGAAGCTGGGTGAAGGGTATCCAGGAATTCTGTGTACTTTATTTTTGCAACACTTTCATAAATCTAAAATTACTTCAAAATAAAAAGCTAAAAGATAAAGGACTGTGCATGGGGTGGACAAAGTCATTAATATTGAAAATGTGTCAACTAGTAATGAATATGGCATTACTCTTCGAATGTATTTTTTCAGATGTAAGTTTTAAAATGTGTACATCATTAAACCTGAATTAAATGTCAAAAAAACATGGCATCACTATCTTTGTTTTCATATGCACTGAATTACATTATAACCTCCATGAGAGATTTTCTGTCTTGTTCATAACTATATCCCTATCAGCTAACTCAGTACGAGTATGTGTTGAGGGAATGAATGAATGAATGAATGAATGGTGCTGTTCTGGGCTTTGCACACAGATAATTAGATAAACTCAGTCCCTGATTCTTGGATTTTATAATCTAATAAGATATATTTAAATATATTATATATCAAATTTATATTTTAGTATGTATCATTTATATATAAGTCTAAGAAATCTAAGATCAATATTTAAAATCTAAGAATATGTATATAAAATGTACATACATAAAACTAGAGAGAGCACAATAACAATATTAAGCAAATCTGGGGAAAATGAATTTACGTCGGTAGGAATTTTTGCCTACTTTTGTTCACTGCCATATCCTCAGTGCCTACAATAGGTTTGGCATTAGCTGACACCCAACAAATATTTGTTCAATGGATAAATGAATCAGCCTCATGTACAAGCCAAGAGGATGCCTTCCAGTTCCTTTCAGGTGAGTGTGTGGGAAGAGTGGGGCTGCTGCAGAGAAGTTCTCAGTCTCCCAGCCCGAAGGCAAGTTGGCATGTGCTGTGTTTGTGCTAAATGTTCCCCTGAGATGCCTTAGAGATCTTCCCCCTCTGCCTCCCATGGCCTTCCAGAATCCCCACCGTGCACAAAGGTCTGACTGTGTTTTTATCCAACGACAAAAAAGAAACACCACAACGGAAATGTCTCCACACACTCATTTCCACATTGAAATTTGTGTTGACTTGGTGAAGAAATTCAACGGAACTGAACGCCCCTCTGCAAAGTGGAACCTGACCTGAGAGCCCCCAAGCAAAAATTTTAGAATGAATCCCTTTACTCTTCTGAATTACCAAATAAACCTCTGTCCAGAGAAGGGCTTCTCTGGTGGGGTCCCCAAGCAGTATTGCTGTCCACCTTCCTATGAGCTTTTAATTGGAGCGTGACTCTGGACACAGCGTGGATAATTTCCCTGCTTCAGAAACCCTCAAAGTCTAGCCTCAAGTTACAAAGATGAAACACAACTGTGTACATAGAAATATGTCTCGGAAGCCAAAGGTAATTAACTCTGCTCTTTTTATGCTTTAGAACTACAGCCTCAAAATTTTCTATTGTTCTCTTCCAGGGACTCCTGTTATTATGGACTAAAACGGAAATGAAGCCTCCTCTCTTCGCCAGTGCTCTATCATTAAAGGGGAAAAGGGAAATGATTTTAGTGGGCTAAAGTCTCCTTTCACCTGCATTGTTACCATTGTTATTCATGGGAAAAATGAAGAGAGAGCTCAGTGGAGAATTTAACTCTGGGACAGACCCAACAGCTGCAGAGGAGGCGATTTGAGAAGCACCCAACATTCCATCCAATCAAAACTAACTTTCTTTCTCTCCCACCACAGCTAATAAAGTTGTCAGCATTAATTTTTAGCAAGTCACTTCTAACTCTTTGTGGATGGGTACCATAACCCTGCTTCTTTTTTTTTTTTAATTACTCTATTGTTGTTCAATTACAGTTGTCTGAATTTTTTTCCCACTACTCCCCCCACCCCAGCCAAATCCACTGCTTGCCTCCACTGCTTCTTTAATTCACCCTGTTCCCATGCCCCTGAACAGTGCTGGGCATGTTGTAGGTGTCTAACCTACATATCTGTAGTCTGTAGGTTAATAATAAGTATCTGTAGTCTGATTTATTTATTTTTCTTTTCTTGTATTGATTTTATATAGGGAGGGAAAGAAACATCAATGGAGAGAGAAACATCAATTAGTTGCCTCTTGCACACTCCCCAAATTGGGACCAAACCCGAAATCTAGGCATGTGCCCCTACTAGAAATCAAACCTGCAACCATTCCGTTTGCAGGAAGAGGTCCAACAAACTGAGCCACACCAGCCAGGGCTGTAATCTGACTTATTGAGGCACCTCTCCTGCAGTCAGGGTCAGCTACTGGCAACTGTGATGGACACTGAGACGCCAGAACAGTAAAAATCCAGAGAGTGTGAAGAGATTATCCAGCTGAACTATAAAATAAAGATGACCCTCTTGATAGTTTTCTGTAAGCACCAGGCAAGCTCTCCTAATGTTTGGGATCTATAATAGAATCAAGGCACTTACTTCCTCAAGAGGCAGATTCAGCTGAAAGTGAAGAATGGCCCAATTTCCTCTGTGCCAAGGGGTTCCCCTGTTCAGCAAGCAAGGAGGATTACTTAAGACGATGGATGTGGGTATGCTTTACAAATACACAGGCTCACAATCATTTTAACCACTTGGTGTTTAAGAGTACAGACTTGGAGCCAGATTGTCTACATTTGAATGCTTACTGTGCTAGTAACTAGCTATGTGACTTTTAACAATTTACTTAACCATTCTGTCTCAGTTTTCCATCTGTAAAATGGACATAATACTACCTATCATAATCCTCTTATGCAGATTAAACATACATAAAGCACTCAGAAGAGCTCCTGGCATATAGCAAATGCTGTATGTAGGTTAGATGTTATTTTTGCTATTGTTGTTATTTGTTTATCATTATTAAAGCATTCTTCAGATATAAGATATCTTTACCACTCTCCACAATGAATGATATTTCACTTTCTCCCAACAAATTCATGAGATAAGTTTTATTATTATCCTCACTGTAGATAAGGAAAAAATAAAGACCAGAAGATTTAAGTGTTTGCGAACAATCCTTTGCTCACTTTGCTGCACCATGCTTGTCTCTTGGTGGTGCAGACAGTGATCTTCAGGGGACAGTCAGGTCCTGCCATGCTTGTCGTGGGGCAAGGGCAGGTGGCTCAGTAGGGCCCTAATGGCTCAAATAGGTTGTTTTCTTTTTTCTTTTTTAATATTTTATTTATTTATTTTTAGAGAGAAGGGAATAGAAGGAGAGAAAGGGAGAGAAACATCAATGTGTGGTTGCTTCTCATGTGTCTGCTGCTGGGAACTGGCCTGCAACCCAGGCATGTGCCCTGACTGGGAAGTGAACCGGCAACCCTTTATTTCACAGGCCTGTGCTCAATCCACTGAGCTACAGCAGCCAGAGCTGTTTTCTTAAATAGTATCCTGGGTATCATCCTGCTTTGTGGGCTGACCAACACATCATTAATTCCATGCTTGTGCCCATGTCCTAACTCTGCTCACTCCTCAAATACAGTCCCTGGCTGCAAAATGAACTTTTATTTTTCTTATTCTAATTGGCTTGGTGATCATTTTGTCTCAGTATAACTTGCCTTGTATACCCTAAGTGTTTTTCCTTGGGAAAAAAAATCTGCCATCTGCTGCCAGGCTCAGATATAGCCTATTGAGTTGGACCAGAAATCAGCAGGAGGTCAGAGCTTTGGGAACTGGGCCCCGGGGCTAGGGACCAGGAAGTTGGTGCCCTTCCTCCTGGGATATTAGTTACTCAAGAGCTTGTATGTTTTCTGATCGCATCTGCTTTGTATAGGCTTTCCAAGATGACTGCAAACCTGCAGCAAGTTTCTGAGGAGGTTACAAGGTTGAATCAGATGCAGGCAATGCACCACGAGACTCAGAGCCCAGGGATGGATGAAAAGCCCACACAGAGAAAGCTCTTAATGCTGGAGCCAGCTTACCTCGTTTCAAATGTTGCTCTTCCTCTTACTAACATCATATCTTTAGGCAAGCTGCTTAACTTTGCTGTGCCTCAGTTTTTCATCTATAAAACTTGGATAATGATTATACCTATCAAGTTGGAATTCAGTGCATTGATACATATAAAACTCATGGGAAAATGTCCATACATGGTAAGCTTTTAATAAAAGTTATTATTACTATTTAACTGTCATCTATTTCATATAATTAAACATAGTATTAATATATACTACATCTAGTATACTGTACATGCACTACATAAGTATACAGTATACATATACTATATAGTATATATACTACATATAGTATACCATATGTAAGTATATAATATACACCTATAGCATATATAGCATATAGCTTATACATAGCATATTATATATACTATTATTAAAATAACTATATATTATTATTAAAATATTCCATAGCAATACCAAGGAAACAGTGATTATTTCTGACAAGGTTGGTCCAAGAAAGATATAGTTATAAAACAATGTAAGAGTCACTATTTGTTGAAAGCTCAAAATATGCTAACCCCTTTATAAGCACTAACAGCAATTTTTAACCTTTTTCATCTCACAGAACATATAAACTAATTACTAAAATTCTGCAGCATACAAAAAATATATTCTTTGCTAATCTTGATTCATTCACACCAGATGCTATTGTTGTATTGGCCGTTGTCAATTTTTTTATTTGACAATCTGTGGGGGTGACTTTGCCAGCAAGTCCCCGCATCTGCCACTGATGAAAGTGAAACTACCAAGACATGATCTGCTTGGGGAGGAGAGGTGGCCAATCTCTCAGAGAAGGGCCAGGAGCCCCTTCCTCAACAGCTTTTATTGTGCTGTAATACACAGGAATACAGGCAGCAAGGATCAAACAGTAGATAAGATTTCAAAGAAATCTGAGGGCTTAGTCTAAGTCAGTGTCTGTCAGGAAAGGGGGTTGCAGAAACTTTTGGAGACATACTCATTCCCTGCTCAGACCCTTATCATGTGAATGAAAATACTCTTAGCAAAGCAGGCTTCACAGGACTTTTAGGAATTCTTTCTTATGCTCGATCACCCCGGATCCAGCTCTAGCTGGAAAGGGGCACCATCATAGGTTTTCAGGCTTAAGTGGATTAGAGCCAGGAAGTGCTTCTCCCAGAAGACATAGGGTCTGGGGCTATATCAGAATAGCCAGGGGGCAAGGGTCCATCACTCCCTCTTTGCTACAGCCCCCTGAGTCCATCCATGATGGCCTCCCAAGTGATAGTGTCTGGCTTAGGTTGCCCCTCTCTCTGAGGGGTCTTACCTGTCTCTGACTGCCCAACCAAGCGTTGGGGGCAGGAGAGGAAGCAGCAGCAGCACTGTTGCCAGAGACAAGCTTTGTCTCCTAAGTTGCTCACATTCCAGAGGTTGCCCTCTCAGCCTTAACCATGGGGGGCAGTTACAACTCCTGAAACCAGGCAGAGCAGTTCCCAACAACAATCTAAGGTTAAAAAAGGTCAGTGCCCCTGACTAACATAGTCATGTATTGCATGCTTTAAAAATTCTTGTGGCACAACAGTTGAAAATCACTGATCTAATGTAATCCTCACAAAACCCCATGAATGGATGATATTTGCCACATTTTAGAAGAGAAAAAAAATCTTTAGAGGGGATAAGTAACTTGCACAGCAGTCCATGGTGGGGCCAGAATTTGCACCCGGATCAGACTGCCTGCAGGGTACCAATTCTGAACCACTGTGCCTTATTCTTCAGGACACATGGCTTTTGATGCAGATCAGAAAGGCAGGAAAAAGTGAAATATGTGGGAATTAGCATGGGGAGGGGCAGAGAGGCCTCCACTGCCAGGAAAGCAGTGCTGAAGTCAAAAAGCTCTGTCAGAGCAAGAGAATAATGGGTGGTCAGGCTCATATAACACTTAGCCTTACCCATCCTAAGCCTCCAAGCTCACAATGTAGACCAGATGGGTGTCCTGGATAACATCGTTGTGCAACATCTCTGGAGCTTGGACCACACCTGACTGATGGAGTGGTAGGAGGCAAGAAATCATCCCCCTTCTTCTAATCTCTCTCTTACATTGTCCCACTTCCTTTGGTATCTTCATTGCTGAGATATGAACTATCACAACATACTCAGAGTCCCATGTGCCTGACTCACTGTTGATGGGGAAAGATTCTGAGGGCAGAGGCTGCTAAGCCTCTCAGGGAAGGTTCCCAGCAGGACTGAGTGGTTGAGCAGGCTTGTTGCTGGGAAAACCAGGAGCTCCTAGTGACTGAGCAGGCCAGGCCTGCATCCTCCAGAAGCCATCCTCAACATCCTCACCTGTACCAGCTGAGAGAAGATTTCAGAATGTGCACAGCTGGGGCCTAGTCAAAACAGAGTAGCTCTGCTTTTGTTCTTTCCTTCCTGAGGCTGGGAGGTACAAAGGCAGCCTGGACAACCTGGAGACTCTTCCCTATCAGAAATGATAAAACAGAAGCTAATGATATTATTTTCAGGGCAACCTAAGTAGGCAACATGTATGCATTCATTTATTAAAAAAAAACACATTTACTGATAACACACTATATGCCATGGGCACATATAAGTAACTAGAGATGAATAGAATCTCTACATGCTAGACATGGAGGCCTTCCAGTGAACACATGTGGAAGACAATGGGATTCATGCTAACAGAGGACACATAAGTGCTATGGAACAACAGAAGAGGCCAAGGGAAGTACACAGGGTAAGGTGCAGTGACATCTGAGTTAATCTGTGAAAAGTAAGTAGGAATTGAGCAAGAGAAGAGACAGAATAATGCCAAGGCAGAAGGAGGAGGATTT